GGGTAGCCCAGCGACGATCACTCATTTCAACAGCATGGGTTCTTTGATCCCTGCTTGCCTTGCCGCATAACGAAGTCAGCTACCTGAGAGATGTGCTGGGCAGCCCACGTGTGAGGAAAGAGATGTCTCCCGGAGGTCAAATGAGACTACAGTCATGAGGGAAGAACCCAGAGGGCACTCTCAAGGCACCTCTCCTGCAGATAATATCATGGTTCTTGTTTTTTGCTCACTTATGCTACTGGAGGGATGCTCACCGAAGCCGGTGAGCATGTTCAGGGTATGAGAAAGTGCAGGAGAAGCCCTTACTTCCTTAAGGAGGGAGTTTGGTCCTGTGAAGCATCTAGCACCTTGGATCCTTCCCAGCTCCCAGGCAGTCTGTGCACATTCACATGATTGCATTTTTGTGAGCAGCTGATGGCCAGAGTTTAACTCTTTGCAGGGCTGAGCCTTGTTGTTGGTTAAATAACTTGTAAGAGGTCTTGGCTACTTGGAAATCCTTCCACAGGCAAATACACAACTTAAAGGCCTGCACATTTCTGATAAGAATACAACAGGCACCATTTGCTCAGTTCTTCTGTCCACTTTCGTTTGCTGTTTAGTATGTGAATATCACTGCTTTATATTCCTGTTAGAAATAAGAGAAGACAAAAATAAGAAGCAAAAGAAAAACAGATCTCTTGCAACAATAGGACTGAAATGAAGACGAAAAAGATGGCAAGAGGAGAAGCTCTGGTCTGTCAAAACATTCAATGCATGTGGCTACCTTTGCACAAGAAGTCCTTAGGGCATTGGCTAATTTTTCATGATTGACACTTCACCAAGTGCTTGGCTGAATTTTGTCTGTGAAAAGAGATGGAGAAAGCACAGGAAAATGTAAATCCAACATATATGACCAAAATACAGTGCTGCTTTCTTCTTGCCAGACTAGAGGTTGGATTTGTTTCTAGTGACTGGCACATAACATACATTTTTTCCTTTAGCTAGAAAAAACTTAGGTTTAGGGTTGGTTTGGGTTTTTTTCAGTTTCCTTGGGGGGAAAAAAACACAACAACAGTGTAGGCTTGAGTTACAGTTGGTGAACTCAAATCATTTCTGCAGCCCCCAAAATAGTTGGAGAGGTCAATGAAACCACAAACTCCATGGGGCTCATCCATTTCTGAATGCAGCTTTCCTAAGCCAGAGGCAAACTGCCCCATTGCTTACCAAAGTGATATTTATCTAATTTGTTACTAGCAAATGCTTGCGGGGAGAAAAAAAAACAACAAAAAACCTCCAAACCCAGACCAAGAGCAGCAAGAGCCACTGGAGCCCTGTGCTAGCATCCGCAAACCAGTGTTCATTTGCCCCCATCATGGCGATATCAGAAAGAACGAAGCCTTTCTGGGTCAAATTCTGCTCTCGTTTTCACTGGCATAAACGATGTCTCTAAAGCTGAGGGAATTGTTGGCTGACCGACTGACCTGGTGGACTTCAGGCAGAATTCAGGTCTCCTTGACCTGATCAGAGCAGAGGAACTTGTCCCAGGCACACCGCTAAGACATACCAACTGATTGTTTAACCATATTGAGAAATAGCAAAATAGGTTTCCCTATCATTTTTCACCTAGCTCAGATTTGATCAGAGATATAAAATAAAGAAAGACACGAACACCCATTCTGGCTAAGTTTCCAAAATGTCGTTTGCACGATGTTTACCTCAGGAAAAACGATCCTGCCGCTATCTTCGTACTTTATCTGCGGCTCTCTGTCTTCGCATACTTACACTCAAGCTTCATACTTACATTGCAGCTTCCAAGCATTCTCCTCTAATTAATCAAAAACTCCATCCCTTTGTTTCCTAGGTCACGAAGGAAGAACAGTAAATTAAATAAAGTTATCGACTGAGCATGGAAGCTGGATTTCTACCCAAGGAACCTAATAATAGCACCATGATGCAGGCGAAGTCAAAATTGATATGGTTTTATATACACAGAGGCAAACAGTTGAGTGTGAAGAAAGTAAACATTAGATAGCATTCAAACAGCGGTTTATCCAGCTCACTCTGTGTTTGTAAATACAGAAGTGTGTTGTGGTGGCTAAATTTGTCCTAATGTAAGGAAACATGAACAAAGAGGCTGGTATTTGGTAACTTCTATAGGCCACATTAGGACATCCTGCATGAATTATTTTGGGGCAGTTCATGATAACGTGGTACAGATTAGAGTTGCCATTTCTGGAAAAATTAGGTCAGAATTATGTAGATAAGATGGAAAGAATTTCAGTAGCATTGTAGTATTTTCCTGACCTGAAGCCTGAATCACAGGTCGAAGCTTTGTTTTATTGTATACCTCGTTTTGGTATATAGTCAAAACAGCCTTTATCCAGTGAAAATAAAAATAAACCAGCTGAGCAAGAAAGAATTACACACAGCATTGAATAAAAATAAGTACAGCAAGATTGATTTTGGAGAGAAATAGTTGTCTCTTCCTGTGAAACTTTTTGCAATTTCAGAAATGGCCATGCCAAAGCCAGGAAAAATCAGAGAAGGGAGATAAAGCTTGGTAACAGCTTGGGAATGGGGCCTGTCATTGCTCTTGATCCGAGGTGGAATTTCACCCATACGTCAGGTGTATTTTGGGACCATTAGAGTATGGCCATGCTGGAAAGTGGTGGACTCTCTTCTCTATATGCTTCCCTTCATCCTTCTCAAATTTCATCCTGGATTAGAAGAACCCCTCACTTAAAAAGGAGACAGATCATGGCCATGAAAGGTTTATTTTTTAAGAGAAGTGAGATTAGTTCTTGTTACAAGAATGAGAGCCCTGACTCTGCAGCCCTGCCTCTGCAGTCAGCACAATGTTTCCATTGGCTTCAGGTAGAAAATTTTTCGCTCAGGTCGTTTATTATAAGTAAGAATGTACTTTTACACCGCTCTGTGTTCAGTGCCATAAATACCAGCACATACCATGCCTCTCATTTTTCACCGGGGGTTCTGGCCTGAGTTATTGAATCTCCTTCTGCCATGGAGCTCGCTTTGAGAAGGAGCAAACATCTGGGACAGACCCTGGTACTTGTATGTGAGCCAGCCCCAAGATAAAATTCTTCATATTCCCTTTCGCTTATTCAGTGAGACAATCAGACTGTTAAATTCTGGTTTTCGGTCTAGCTCATTAATACAAACCATGGTAAGCTGCAGTCCATGCTCCTATGCCAGAAGGCAAATAGCACGGGGGCAGGGGCAGGGGCATCCCCTTCTGCCCCCGCCGCACGCCAGCTGGCCCTGGAGCAGGTTGGGCAGCACGGAGCGGCTTCTGCGGCTCTTCCCAAAGCCTGCAAGCCCCCGGCATCAGGGCATCTCACCCTCCTTGTGCTCTCTGCATCGCCGCTCGGGCTCGGTGCTGTGTGGGGCTCTTACTCCACCTCGCACGGCGCCGGGGACCGTGCCTTCCCCAAAAGGCTGGTGGGTGCCCATCGCTACACAGCGCTGCAGCATGGGCAAGCAGCGGGGTCAGTGTGGGGGGAAGGAAAGGAGGATGAAAGCCAGCTTTCGAGTCCAGGCATGAGCAGACTAAACCCTAGAAGGAACAGGTTTATTTTTAGGATGGTGTCTCAAGAATCCCTTAAGCAGCTGGCCAGGAATTTGGGCTACTAAAGCCCACCCCCAGCACCATTTAGCCCGGCCACCTACAAAATCCAGATAGCCAGCCTTAGTAACAGCACAGGGGCTGCTCCTCCGCTCCCAGAATCGCTCCTCTCCTCCTGCTCTCTCCGGGGAGAGAAAACGGGAGCAACTGGGACCGGGACACGGATGGGCAGCCCCTTCCCCAGCAGGGGCACCCCACAGCACCCGCTCGCCTGCTGCTTCGGCTGGGTGAGAGGCAGCACCGCGACTGCTTGCTTTGTTTATTTTCCCTGCCAAAGGCAACCACCAGTACGGGAAGAAATGGAAAACCAGGGAGCGTTAGCGAGGTCTCTTCACACCTGACAGAGGTCACCGATCCATGCGCATCCCGAGCAGTTAGCACGGGGATGCAGAGATCAAAGGGCGGCTCCGGGGGCCGCATCCTGCCCTGCAGAGGTGCGAGGGCTCCTGGTTCCTTCCTGCTGCCTGGGCCAGGCTCTCATGTCAGACCCCGGGCTGCCAGCACTGCCATCTCTCCACCGAATTAACTGCCCCAAAATGTAGCAGAACAGCGTGAAGGAAACTTGATATGGGCTTTATTCAGCCTTTTGGTGTTTAGGTGTAAAAAATGCTGCAAACAAATGAATATTGACAAGAAATCCAGCACAATTTCAGAAATTTTTCATGGTGACTGCTGTCAGTAAGTGTTTGTAATACAATACACTTTGTATTGCATTTGTTTGTAAAAGTTTGTTTTTAAAAAACACCAAAACACTCAGTTTTAACTGTGGACTAACTCTTGTGCTTTTTTTTCCTATAGGATCAGAGATTATTAAATCCATTTATTTGCTTTAAGCATCTTTCCAGCTATAACCACTCTGGGCCAATGTTTGGAGACATGCAAAGTTTGACGATTGCTCTAGCTCCTTCCTGGCTCCATTGAGGTCTCCATCTTTAACTTGCATGGGCTGGGTGAGACTTTTAGGATAGCATGATAAGTAACACAACACTGCCTAGTCCAGTACAGCCCACAAAGCTAGTTCATCTATATCCAACCCTTTATGGGCCATATTTTAATGGTACAATAAAGCCAATATTAGAATTTGTACTGTTGGATGAAGAAGACATCAGCCGTATGAGAATGCTGCTGCAGGACAAATTCATTTGGCCAATTCAAATTTCACTGTGAAGTTTTGATGAGCAAGCTTGAAGCTAGAATGAGCATTAGCTGTTGTCTCACATCTGGCACAAACTTTCTGTGTTGTAATCTGGCTAACCTGACAGAAAGGCAATAGTGTGCACACACTTCATCTAGGTCAGCTTTGTACGTGGGGCAATCTACCTCCATGATCATGGGGCCACAGCCTACAGAAAAGCAAGGCATATGAAAAACAGGGGAATACAGTAATTAAAAATATTTATTTCTGAAGATATTTACCTTGATAGGCATAAAGCATTTCCCAATTTCATACAGAAATACATAAAACATGCATAGACCAATATGGCCTACTTCAATGTGTATTCAACATGGTAAATATAATGAAGAACTTGTGTGAATATAAATACAGAACACAAAAAAAAGCACATAAGATTCAACTGTCAGCAAATTCAACAATGTGAACAAATTCACTGCTATAAATGTTCACCCAATATTAGCCTTTTGACATAATTCAAAACAACCCTTTGTCTCAATGCATTTCCACCAAACAAGGCACTGAATAAATCTCACAACAGCCTCTGGTACATCCCCACTTCAGTGCATTTTTGGTGGCATGTAAGACACAACAATCTCTATTATTAGAACTTCAGTTAGCCAAATATCCTTGTTATGGGACACCTAGTAGTGTTGTCTAACTTTTATATTGAAGAGTCCTTTGGTATCCAAAACCCAAAGGACTTTTACTATGCAAACAACCACCGTGTCTAACCCACATTCAGATAACTCTGGTTGTACAAGTAAACTAGACTTCTGAAAAAAGGCAAAGGGTTGCAGCTGATTAGCAAAGGCAATAACAAGGTGTAAAAATACTCTAGCAGGAGTGCAACAAACAGTACGCGAGGTAGACATGTATATATGCAGTAAGTTCTGATTAAAGTAGCACTGTGGCTTTCATTTTTGCATTTTAATCAAAAAGGTCGAGTTTTTTGCTTTGAAGTTTGTCCCCTCAGATCTTGCTTTCTGTCCTTCCTAAGCACATCTGTGAGGTCTTTCTTGCAAGATGCTTTTGATGCAGGCCCTGAAAGCTGCCCAATTGATGGGTAACATTCCAGAAGCAATATTCAAACATTTCTTCAGAAAGATGGCTTTTCATGTATGTTACTGCAGATTCCCCTTCACCCCCTCTACCCATCCACCTGAATTCCAAAATGATGAAATCCTTTGCTTTTATACCTCCAAATACAGGACTTCCTTAGTGTTTTGCTCTGCTGCGCAAACACTTGGACAGAGAGGCCCTTCGCCATCGTGGAATGTTAGAAGTCAAGAGAGAGTTTTGGTGATGCTTTTTCAGCAAGTGTGATGGAGAAAGATTCAGGTGATCTTCCCACTAGGATGCTTTCAGGCTTTCCCAGATGCTTTGCCTTTTGTTCGCCCTGTTGTGTTTCAGCTTCCACCCTTTCTGGAGCTCAGCCTTCAGCTTTGCGATACTGAAGGAGGCTTTGATACTGTTACCAATGGCTTCCAGCCTGCAAAAATAAGAAAAATACATTTATTGTAACAATAATGAAGATGCCTCTCCAGAGTGCAGACATTCAGTTTTTGATTAAATAAGCCTCAGTCTAGATTTCTACCATGGGATCCTCTGTAACTGCTTATTGCTATACCTCTGTCAGAATTACGCTAACTTAAGCCACTTGAAATACTGGATTCAGGATTTAAATGCAAACATTAAAATAAGTTAAAATATTCATTCAAATATAGATGCCCCAGAGTTCCTTAAATGGCACATATCCAGTCAAGAGATCTTCAGTGTTATTCTTTCTGGCTGTTTTGTTTCTTTCAGGTAAACCTGATCCTGGTTCCAATGAATGGGTGCATTTTTCAAGTAAGTGACTAAGCAAGCCCCGTTTTCAAAAATGATTTAAGACTTCCAGAGCCTAAGCCTCATCCAAAATCATCAGGCTGCCTGCTCCCTTAAATCCTGTTCTGCTTTTCAAACTAGCACTAGAGTGTCTTCTTTTGTATGGGCAAACTTCCGTATGCCATGCTTTTACACAGGCATATGGCTGAACAGTGGACGCCGGAGCTGGTGTAGCTGTACTAACACTCAGCTTCAAAGCTGACTTCACCTCTGTGGGGTCCGTAGCTGCACCAAGTCCAATGCACGCGTCTCTGAACCGGACTGTGGAGTGATATTGCCGCCTACTGCCACTCAACTTGTTATGCATGGACCTCAAAGGGCAGTCCTGAAACTTACTCCTAATCCCAAATATTAAACTGGGCTCAAATATTAATTTAGTCTTCATTTCCCTTTTTCTCAACCTTTTCGCAGTCATCTCCATCACTAACATCCTGTACTCATTTTACACGGGTTTATTGGGCAATGTAAAAGATAAGGCAGGTAGAAATCCACCTCCTGCATTCTAAAAAGCCAGCCACACCAGCCAGGAGAAACGATACATTCAAAATCTGGATAGATCAATAATCTTTTTTTTTTCCCCTCCAGTAAAATGGAGTAAAGTATCTAAGAAAAAGCATTCTGATTCAATAGCATATTAGAGTAGTCGGGACATACTTTTAAGTAGTTAAAATAGTGCATGAACATGCTAAAATGACAGGCTCTATTTATTTCTGTCAGTATTTCATGATTTCACACTCTTCTGAAGTTTGGTGTATCATCAGGCTTACAACTAGGCCTGCTTCCTCTACGCAAATGGAGGATGCTAGGCAGAGCTCAGCACCCCTGTCTTCAGAAGCTAAAAACCCACTGAACTAAGAAAAGCGCTCAAGACATCCTCACTGATTCCTCTGTAACTCTCAAGCTGAAATCACCAGCTAAGCCCACGCTGATCCGAAGGCAGGTACACTGTGCTCTCTATTGCTACTCCGGGGAACTACAACAGGGTGAGAAGAAACTCACCGCTTCATTTTCTTGCTGTCAACACGTGGTCGGTTCATGCATTTGGGTCCAATGCAATTGCCAGCTTTGTTGCGGTGACGCAAGGTTTTTTCCACTGTGGACTGAGCCCTGTGAAAAGTGAAAAGGCGCTGCTGTTAAAAAAAAAAAGCAAGCATGCAGTCCGCAAGGTGAGGCATCTCATCAACAACCACTTCTCTAGGCACGTAATAAGTGATTTTTCTGGGCCAAACCATAGTACGTATCACAGCGGCATGAACACTCGGGTAGGAGGCAAGGCTTTGGGGAGATTATTCGCTCAGCAAGTGCCAAAATGAGTGAGTCTACCACAATGCATCCCTTTTACATGCACTGCCTTTTAAAGAGTAGCAACAATAGACGCACCAGAGATCTTTTCCTGTCTGGCAGAAGTTCAGACATTTCTTGTCCTTCTGGTTGGCACATCGGCATCTGCTGCTAGGTTCAGCGAGCATCTCCGGCACCGCGTCCTTCAGCGATCTTCTGGATCGAGAAGGACCTCCAAGACCATACGGGACAGTTTTCCTATGATCAAAGAGACCACATGAAAGTCATTCAAATAATTCTGTGGCTTCAAAACAGTGGGGTATTTTGGGCAACCTTATCAATGGGATTGGGAATGCCTCATTGGTCATAGTTTCCATGCAAATGCTTCTGATGATCCTGCAGCATATTCATTAGCATGGCTACTGACAAGGCTAATGGCCTTTTAATTGTGATTTCATAAGGCTGCTGTGCCTCCCTGAGCGATAGAAAGCAATAAAACCTCATCTCTTTGAACTTTGGTAACTGCCAACACTGAAAGAAGCAATAAAAGTGAGGAAGAGATCCTCTGCGCTCAGGGGCAACCCAGCAGCAGAACAAATCGCTAGAGTCAGTGTTTGCAGCATTAGGTGAGGCTCGTGCTCACTACTTTTTGGTGAGGAGAGCGTAGAAACGGACACCGTACGTAACACTATTAACGCGTGGGATGCGTTAATTTGCAGCAGAGAGCAGCAAGAGGCAGCGAGGAGCCACCCTGTGTCGAAGTAAGCCTTCTAGCCTCCTGACTTGTCAGAAAGGAAAACGGTCAAATTCAGGCGGGCAAAATCATCCTGTTGGCATTTTGTCGGCTTCTGATTCACAGCGAAAAGCATCCCGCAGCCTTTGCTGAGCAGTACCCAAAGGAAACGCTCCTGCCCAGATTTTAGGAACGCAGGTGCGTTAGGGCTGTTGGGAGCTACCTGCTCAATCTAGGTGGTCAAATCCCGCTTGCTTTCCCCCAGTGAACGGTCTCGCTGCTAAACTCGGCAGAAAAGCAGGAGGGGAGGGGGAAAGCGACAGGAGAGACCGTGCAAATACCTTTCCGTCCCATTCCTGCGAGGGGGTTTGCGGTTCTTGGTTTTCCCCTTCTCCCTCCCTTTTCCCAACCCAAAGCGGACCCCAGCGCTCGGCAACTGCCCCCCTCCCCGGCTCCCGCCCTCCCCGGTCCATCGTTCACTCACTCGGGGGTGTTGATCCAGATGATGTCGAGGTGGCAGAAGTAGACGCACTCCTCGTCC